TGTGTTGAAGACTACACGATGATGCCCCGCTTGCATGAAGAGACGCAACACCGAGCCCAAATCTGCCTTGAAATGAATGGGGCACAATTTGAGCCGCACATCATACCTACCTAGCATCATCAAACCGCAACGAATTCAGTAGAAATTTTACTCTTTTCACTGACATAGTAGTAGGAAAAATAGGTATACCTGTCCCATCACTTGCATACAAATCTTCTGAATTGGCGTGTGATGTCTTCAAGGATTCGGCTATGTATAACCATCCGAAAAGTGCTCGAATTTCCACTGCATCCGTCGGTTTGCAGTCACGTATTCTGTTATACGATGGCGCTTTTTTGAATAAATTCGTTGGTATATCTAACAACTTTTTCAATAATATTCTCTGAAATGAATAAACTCCAGGCTTGCGTAAATGTTGTCACCCCCACACCATTCCTACGAGTGCCCGCATCTTCCGTGAGAAAATTTTGAACTTGACGCCTCACTCTGTTATTGTTAGATTTTTGCCACTTCGTTACTCGTAAATAGTGTATCGCGCCCTGTAAAACAGCTACTTATTTCTAAAAGAAGCAAATCATCTTCTTCTGAGTCCGAGTAGTTTGATTCCTCAGGAGATCGAAGTACCTCTGCAACGATGTTTTCGGAAGTTTCAGAGCCTTGATCGCTGAGCTCTGATTCACTCTCTTCTTCGTCTTCTGTTAGTAATTCCTCGAGTATTGTACTTTGTGGTAACCGTCCACGACTCATTTTATATAAAAAAATCCAAGCTTAATTCGATAATATTAAATGATAGCCGAAGAACTACTACGTGCGTGAATGAGGGTATGTCGCGTTGAGCGTCGCGCGTACCTTTTCGACGACAGGCCCGTGTAGTCATTTCGACTGCACCGGGACTAAAACAATTGCGCTTAATGGAGTGGGGGGAGCGCCCCGAGCAACGGTTTATTTTTTATTTTACTTCCAATGACATAGCGACAGATTACTAGAAATGAGAAATAAATGTGATAAGTAATAATAATAATATGAACAAAAATGTACTAAGCTCGGTCGATTCGACTATGCGCGCCCACTTGAAGGTTAAACGATGTCATCCAAAGGGCTCTTGTCTTTATAAATATTCCCTCGGTTTTAAGGCCTAGTGGAATATTTAGAGACGATGGCAGGAGACCCGACGGTTTGACATTGGAGAGAGGTAAAGCCCTAGTGTGGAATGCTACTTGCGTAGACACTTTGGCAGCTTTTCATTTCAGGGTTACCACGTTTAGAGCAGTGGCAGCATCAGAGGCAGCTGAACCGAGTAAGTGGCGCAAATATGAGTCTCTGAGAGATGACTACATATTTGTGCTATTTGTTGTAAAGACTATCGGTCTGTGGGGTCCAGGTGCGGTGAAGTTCCTAAAGAAAATCTATCCGCAACTGGTTGCTGCTGCTGGTGTTAAGAGGACTGGTTTGTTTTCTCGCTCGAAGGATAAGTATAGACATTCAGCAGGGAAACGCAGTCAGCGTTCTTGGCACGATACCGCGGGGAGTAAGACTGTATAACCAAGAGCTCATGGCTCGGGACATGCGATCGTGACATAGATCTACTATGCGCCTACTTTTATATAGCGGAAAAATGTGAAACTTTTCGCAACACGTTGTTGTTTATACGTGTTAGAGCCATGCTGCAGCTATATTAGTAGTATAGTTGTAGCACGAATGGGTCGGCTCGACCGGGGAAGGACCACGCTCTTACAAAATACCAGCGTAAAATAGCAGCTTAACGCTGCTGTGTTTCGTATGGTGAGTGTAGAGAACCGGAGCCCCTTTTTACTGGACAAGAGGCATTCCATCTTAATCCTCACGGGTAACAACGTATCTGCATTTTGAGACTTTATTGAGAATAGATGTAGATGTCTATGGGTCACAGTAACCACTTACCATCATGTGGACTGTGTGCTCGTTTGTCACCCTATCATATAAAAAAAAGTTACTAGTTTTAGTTTTTTCTTTAAATATAGTTTTAAATGTTGTATATAATAAAATATTGCATATTATGTTTAATTTATAAACTATATTATGCAGAATAAAGCAAAACAAAATATTTATTCTTGTAGATGAATATTCTTGTTTGCTACAATATTCTATTATCCAGACATTTTTGTAATGATTTCTTTTATTTACGCTAATACTACACATTAAATGAAACTTATCAGACGGATTTTTTTTGTAGAAGATTGCAAATGAGCATGCGTCTCACCTGAAGGTAAGTGACTACCGCTGCCCATGAACAATTGCAACACCAGAGGAATTGCAGATGCATTGCCGGCCTTTTAGAAAGGAGTAAGGACTTTATGGCGTTTAATTTAAACTTTTTAATTCCTGACGATTCGGGCCCTTTACAGGATCCATAGTTACGGAGAAAGGAGGGACTGAGGTGTATGATGCCCTGATGTCCCCGTTAACGAAATCTACCTTCAATTTTTAATATTAATTTGTGGTCCGAACGAAACGACCATAAAGCATTTTTATTAATTTATTTATCATGGTTTTAGGGGAACTTACAGCTAGTTACAAAATTATGAACAACAAAAAAAGTTCCCACTTATAAATAAAATACAAAGAAATGCACAAAATGAAGACACAATTACATAATAAGCAAATTATTTGAATATGTAATACACATCGCGTATCGAAAAACTTATTACTACGTAGACGTTCAAGTTGCTTGCTAGAGGTGTAATACACAACGTTGACTTATATACGCTAACATTGCGTATTTTTACCTTCGTAGGAACATTTGCTGGTTCCAATTAAATAAGAATTAGTTCATAGAACATACATACATTCACATGGGGTGCGTGTAGATGCGTGTGAAACTTGTAAGCGTATTTTCTCCAAGAGCTCATGGCTCGGGACAGACCATCGTGACAGATGGTCAGTGATGACAGACTACTATATGCCTACTTTTATATAGCGGCTAAATGTGAAACTTATGGCAACGCGTTGTGTAATCTGTCAGAAGGATCTTAACTCTAAGTTTAAAGTAGTTAATTTTTTTTTGAATCCGTCCCATACGCCTATAGCAAATGTTATAATTAAGGTTCCATATTTGAGATGCATATTTTAAGTTATTTCGTATATAATCATAGTAAATAATTTTGAAAGTTTTATTGGATATAAAATCACAAGACATTATTAAAATTAAGCCCAGCGTTTTTGAAGCTGTTTATAATATTGCTATAATCTATGTAAATGACATCGACTTAAAAGGGCTCTGACATATGTTCCGATAAGAAGTCACTACTTATGAGACTATTGATTGTTGACCGACCCTTCATGAAACTGTGATGCTGAAAGCTAACTATTAGTGTGCATCCACAGTGAATGCGCGGCGACTTGAGCCTGTTGCGGGCGCGACGGCGGGCGTGTGCCGTGGCCACAGTGACGAGCGAGTTGTTTGTGTGCTTAGACGTATTACAGGTGTTGTAAACCATGGACGAGGATTTAGTATTTCTACTAGACAGTCCGATCCTGAGATGGGAGATTTTGAACATTAGAGAGGGTGTGCACGAAATAAATAAAAACCGACAAATAAATGGTGAATTTTTTTATTTGTATGAAGAATTGAGATTGTACCCTAGAAAATTCTTTGAGTATACTCGAATGTCCGTGTCAACATTTGATTACGTCCTGAGTAAAATATCACCTAAAACCACTAGAGAATATACAAATAAAAAAAATGAAGACGCGCATACGCCGAGCGATAAGACCGAACTGGTTTGATACCCCCGCACCCGCGCATTGGATCGCTTGCTGACTAGGCCTGTAGTGTGGCCAAAACGCGCGGATATGAATGTTTTAAAACTACGCGCGCTATCTCGCTCATGCCCGTCGCGCTAGGCGTCCGTCTTAGTCACTACACTATGGACGCAAACGGCGGTTTCATATGTTTGATAATTCGCGCCCGTCGTCGCAACCGCGCTAGGCTCGCACTGTGTACGAGGGCTTACGTTTGTATGTTTTATGGAATTATATAGCTGATCATAGAAAATTCTTTCTAGCACTTTGGAAATGGGACGGTAGTTGCCAACTTGATCTTTCGGCACTTTTTATAAATTGGTGTGACATAAGCCGATTCCATATCCTTGGCATTGGGCCTTTTGACAAAGAGCGCCGAAATAAAACGCCCAACGGAAACGCAAGGCTCATAGCGCATCGCACGTAAAAACTGCTGGTATGTTATCAGGTCCAGCTAATTTACTCAAGTCAATTGATTTATAAAGCTTAAATATTACATCAAATTTGACCTCGATATCCCCTATATTAGAGTTCACTTTAAAGGTATCATCTGGGTTAATTTGCGTACTATTTAAAAAAGGTATCTTATTATGAGATCTCAAGCAGACAGTAGCATGCATCCACAGCCATTTTCTTTAATAAAATTTATATATAAGTTTTAAATAACCTCGCGAATCATCATGGTAAGAATCGGTGTTATATTGCGAAGATTTGTGATTTATCAAATCTGATGTAATGGTTGGCACGATCCTGAACATGTAGACTTACTGCAGACTTCCCGGAGCGTCGGTGCTTCATATTAGCTATATTTATTCAAAGAATTAAAAAACAATTAGATTAAACGCATTAAAACCCGTAAGATTAGATTCATGTAAAAAACATTTTTGTGTTTAATTCATAAAATATAAGTGACGAGATTTAAAACACTACTGCTAGCATAATTAATGATTCATTCCATCTTAATCTTAAGTGATGACAACACATCTGAAGCCTTCTGTCTTTAAAGTTGGGTGCAGTTTTCTATTAGTAATAGCCACTCTCCGTCGGGTAGACTTAGTTTAGTTTGTAACTTTTATTTTAAATATGTCTCGATTTCAATTCGATTCAGACGTAATACTATTATGCTGTTTTACATTTTGTGCATTCAAATGTAGCACTTTCACAGTTTTTCAATATGTCAACATTTTTTTATTAATATTTTCATATTTTATCATTAACATTTAAAAAACCACCTTAATACTTTTATCTGGATCATTCGAAAGAATCAATTCTAGATCAGCTTCATTTCTAACAACACGTTTAATTCCATCTTCAATTTCTTGCAGCGTTTTGTTCTTTGTTTCGGGCAGTATAAAGTACAAAAATACTAAACAAATTGTGACACATAGACCAAAAATTAAATAAGTACCTCCAATACCAATTTTTTCTATCATCAGTGGAGTGATTTTCATAGTAACAGCGTAAAACAGTGTGAAAGTAATACCAGTTGTTAGTGATCCCATTCCTTTATGGTTCAGAGGGAATATTTCTGTTGTTACAGTAAAAGCTGCTGGTATAAGTCCAATATGAGTTGTAAAACTATGTAAAAGTATTAACAATGGAGTAATCCATTTTGTGTTTAGTAATAAGGTAGTTCTTACAACTACTGATAAACCTACTATAAACATTAATGAAGCAGATATAGCACCTAATCCTAATAATACTGTTCTTCTTTTGAAAGACCTGATTACTATACTTGATATGAATAAAGCAACTATTAACAAGCAATCCGCTACCATAGAACAATATCCAGCTATGTCTTTATCACCTACTAACTCAGTCATTATTTGCGTAACATAACCTAGTAAAAAATATCTTCCAGAAGCATCTACGGCCACTGTACAAAGAGTGGCGATCAAAAAAGGGATTCCAAAATCTCTTCTCAAAAGTTTCTTCAACAACTTATATAATATTGGAGTCTTCTTTTGTTGCAGTTTGCTTTTTCGTCTTTCCATTTGTGCTGATATTAAATGTTTCAACTCTGCTTTGTTTTCCTGGGAGTCGCTATGTAACCAAAAAAAAGATTTCTTACAATCTTCAAAATGCCCCTTGATTGCATAAAATGCCGGGCTTTCTGGGCAAAACAGAACTAGGGATAAAGTTATTCCGTTCGGGATTAATGAAATTAATGCTATTTGCCTAAAGTCACAGATTATGGCTAATGCATGACAGAGTAAAGACCCACATGCTAACGAGCACTTCGTTATCGTCAAAAATACACCACGCCTCTTACGATGTGTAAACTCACTAATTGTAATTGCATAAACAAACACTCCTCCCATGGCAAGGCCTTGTATACTCTTTGCTATGATCATCATAGTAATACTTTTGCTAAAATATAGCAGAATCCATCCAACAATCATAAAAATCTCAAATGATATATTCACTGGCTTCCTACCAATAACTTGAAATAGTGGAGAAAAAATAAAGAAGCCTAATAATCCAGAAAATCCGTGAGCTGACGCTGAAATAAAAATAACATAAGAGAAAATGTTAAAAAAGTTAACACATCGAAAATAAAATCTCACTTTCTTGTATAAATTATCGTATTTTATTATTGGTACTCCTTTACCTATCCAAGATGCTTGACCCGTCGTCGCTTTGATGTCTGTAGCATCTGGCGATAAAATTGCTGCATTTAAGACACTTGGATACGCCAAAACAATCCCAGCGCTAAATGAATGGAAACATCCTGCAGCCAAAATAAGTATCTGAAAATAAAATGGCATACGCTGTTAAAATACGTCGTAAACATTTAGAGGATATTTATTCCAGCCCATATAAAGTCAAAGAACATTAGTCTCCATAGATTGCCTCATAATTGGGGTATTTGCCATAATTGCCACGCTTGGTGGGCGGGTTGGCAACCGCAGTTTTTATTCTTATTATTAAGTTGTTATTAGGAAGATGTTGCTGCCACCCACGAGTAAGACACCCACGGGTTCATGCGAGTTATTGGAATCTTTGACCTCGCCCTTACACAGTAAAAGTAGAAGTAAATAATTCGCATTGACGCAAAGTGAAAGCGTATCAAAGTGGCACGTAGCTACATACTTCAATTTTACTAAGCTCATTATATGTTGGATATGAAGGCACGAGATAAAACAACTGAATTTGAATTTTAGATATCATCAACTTTATATCAATTTTAGTTATTGATATAAAGGTGGCTTTAGTTTACATAGCGTTACCCCTCCCCCCTCTTCTATATATAGAATGAGTCTTCTGTTTAAATACGGTACCATCATAATGAACATTGATCTTTCCCAAGGACCTTTCTAAAGGATTAGTTAGAAAAATCCTTTGTAATAGCCTTTGTTAGCAAAATCTCTTCGGACGAAACACACCGTATAATTACGATAGAACTTCACTAAGGTAAGTTCGTTTAATCATTAATTATACTTCGTATTTCGTCCCCTTGATTAGAAACTGGAACTTATTAAACACATGTAGATACTGAGCTAATATAACTTAGTTCTTTTAGGTATCTCTTGGAAGAATGAATATTCACTAAAGCAGTCGAAAGCTTTTGGTAGTGCCTTATATTTATTTTAAGCTAAAGAACCCTGTTCACGAAGAAAGGGCTCAAAAAGGTTAAGAACACTCAATCGTCCCTATTCCACTTGTTTCAGGTTTATATCAATCAATTCATTATAATTAATCCCTTTCGATTTGGAAAAGGCTCACAATATTTATATAAAATGCCCGATACAAGAGCTCCACTCTCCCACATTTTAAAAACTATGAGGCACACGGCCCCAAACATGCTAACGCCGTATGCGGTGAGCGCTAACCAACCTACGTGCTCCTCCCGATGAGGGACGAGAAGTTTGGAACTGGACCGTAGTACACAGCAAAATAACTGGCGAACCAGTGAAAGGGGACTTGGCTCCCTGGTAGTGAGTAAGCACAAACATCGACTGAAGTCGCGCATGTCAACGCGTGTAAACGCTATACAGAATGACCGCCGCTCTTGCGGAGGTGATGTAAGTGTAAGGCATCACCACCGATTGCATGGTTAGCTCGGCTTCTAGACGCCACCACAAGGGAATGGGGTCCCACGTTGAGCGTCTTTCGGTCGTAGCCTTGAGAGTCTCCTCCTTCTAGCTACCACTCGAATGAGGTCGACACACATAACACATGTGCTCCATCAACCAATACAACGGCAGATATAGCCAAAAGGCAGTTATAAGATAATAATATTGACTTACAAATTTATGCTCAAGCTGAGGTGGCATGTATCGATGATGTGATTGAGAAGCTCAACTGTGATCTCAATTGTATTTCTAATTGGTCAAACAGATTTGGCATTAGGGTTAATCCATCAAAATGTCAGGTTATTATGGTTTGTAGTTCCCGTAGACTGACTAAAATGGATATGAAGGCGTTACCTCCCATAATATTTAATAATGTTATTGTTCCTTACTCAACATCAGTTAAACACCTTGGCTTAATTATAGACAACACCCTCAGCTGGCGACCGCATATATATGAAGTGAGCAAAAAGGTCACTAACACTCTGCGTCATCTGTATCGTCTCAAGAATTTTTTACCGTTAAGGACTAAGGCAATGCTAATACAGACTTAAGTGTTGCCCATTCTAGATTATGCAGATGTTTGCTATGCTGATGCCTCGCAAGAACTTCTAAACAAACTGGATCGACTTCACAATAATTGCATACGCTTCATTTTCGGTTTACGTAAATACGACCACATTTCCTCTTATATTTCTCAGCTAAAATGTCTACCTCTCCGCTATCGCAGACGTTTCAGAATACTGTGCACGTTATTTTCAGTTTTATACGATCCGTTTGTCCCTGAATATCTGAAATGCAAATTTCAGTATTAAGGTGATACCTATAATCGTTGTCTCGGTTCTACGGAAAAATCTAACCTCCATGTTCCCCTCTGTCACACTAGTTTTTTACACAAATCTTTTAATCCTCATGCGGTAAGATTATGGAACGACGAACGAGTTACCGGGCAGTGTCCGCGCAGCCACGAGCAAGGCATCGTTCTAACGCTTGCTCTGGAATTACTATCTAACGTTGCAGGAGTAGTTTGTGGTTTTCCATTTCATTTTTACATTTGTTATTGGAGTTTGAATCAGAAACTGCTATATTTAATTATGTATATATATATGATAAGTAGTATATGTATAATAAGTAATATTAAGTAAATATTTGTATGTATGTATTTATATATATTTATGTATATATATGTATATATACTGTATGTATTATGTAGACATAGATGTTATTTACGTAGCTGTTTGCACTTTGCACCCACAATATTTTCTCTGCTTAGCCTGGAGGTAGACTGATACAGAATGCCCTGTTGCATTAAGTCCGCCTTTTTGTACTTGGTGTGCAAATAAAGCATAAATTAATAAATATTGATTCGCCATCAGAAAGTGTTTATGTAGCTGACGTTGAATATATGCATTTTTCGATTATGTTTGTCTCAATCACCATCAAGCTGCCTTCAATAATTCAAATGTGGAAAAATTATCGAGATACATTATTATGTTGTTATATAAAATATTATGGAGTCCAGACATTCGTTGCCACGTCATAAAGAGAATAGCGACCCGCCTAACAAACATTTTTTTATAGCATAAGGGTGACAAACGAGCACACAGTCCACCTGGGTCTCCGGTTCTCTACACTCACCATACGAAACACAGCAGCATTAAGCTGCTATTTTATGCTGGTTGCCACAAGCTTCAATACGACTATCGTCGGGTTTACACCATCCCAAGGTCCCTTATACGATCCCAGCATACATACCCACCTGCATAACTCCATCGACCAGAACCATAAGATGCATTGAATCAGGCGCAGCATACCCGCAGATCCATCACAAGACGCAATACCGCAAGTAGCAGTAAGCATTAATGCAACTATCATACGGATTGCACCCCCTCACATCCCTATCGACATTGGCAACAAAATTGTCATTATTGTTAATTAAAACTAGAAATAACGTATCATAGTAGCATGCGACTAGACGCACGTATACAAATATCCGTGTATCATAGAGCTATTGATTGAAGACACAGAGTTGAGGGCTGCTGGCCACATGAGGAAGCTCAAGGGCGCTCAGCGAACTATGGAGAGGTCTGTGCTCGGGTTTTTTCTGCGTGATAAAATTAGAAATGATATCCGCAGTAGAACCAGAGTGACTGAGATAGCCCAATGGATTAGTAAATTCAAGTGGCAATGGACCGGCCATATAGCTCGAAGAACCGATAACCGATGGGGATAAAAGGTTCTTGAGTAGCAGCCTTGTAGACCCCCCACTAGATGGAGTGACGACCTGGTAAGAAATGGAGGAAGTCAAAGGATGCAGGTGGCTCAGGGCATTCCTTTGTGGCATTCCTTGGGGGAGGCCTATGTTCAGCAGTGGACTTGTAACGGACTGTAATGATGATGATGATGATTGAGTTAAGTACGCTTGTTGCACTTAAAAGTACTACCAAACACATTCTCCCTATGTATCATAGTAGGGGTGTTTTTTTTTATAGGATAGGGTGACAAACGAGCACACAGTCCACCTGATGGTAAGTGGTTGCTGTGGCCCATAGACATCTACATCTATCCTTGTTTGCGAATCAAAATGGAGATGCGTTGTCATCCGTGAGGACTAAGATGGAACGCCTCTTTACCAGTAAAAAGGGTCTCCGGTTCTCTACACTCACCATACGAAACACAGCAGCATAATCTGCTATTTTACGCTGGTATTCTGTAAGAGCGTGGTCCTTCCTCGGTCGAGCCGACCCATTCGTGCTACAACTATACTACTAATATAGCTGCAGCATGGCACTACCACGCTCTCTTTCCACGGACAAGTCGTAAGGCTACAACAAACCCGGTGATCACCAGCAATAAGATGATATGCCTAGGACATAGCGGTTAGCGAGTCCACGTTTACCGTGGTCCCGGTCACAGTGAAGCACACGCCACTATAATAATCCTTTTCAGGTCCTATTTCTATCAAAATAATGCTTTTACATATTTCAGATCTTCCAAATACTTGCTGTATTTCATAGACCTTACTATCATGTGTCTTTTATATATGGGACTTCAAGCCACAACTCTGATTTTATAATAGTTATCCGTCTTAGAGACCTTTTATATTATTGCTTTCGTATCACATATCTTGCCATCATAAGTCCTTAATATGGGACTACTACATTGTGCAACAAAACTTCAGTAGTCAGTTGCTAGTGCAACACATATATAACATGTATGACCATGGGTATTCGTCTTCGGCAGCTCCCTTATAAAATCAATCATTACATGAAGACGCTCCAGCATTGCACAAACACGCTCGGTAACTTAGAAATATTTTGACTAATTATTAGTTATAATATAAAATTTATAAATGTTATTTATCTTTATTAATGTAATATAATCGACTTGCATTACTATTATTTAATATTATGTTTTGAACATTTTAAACAGAGTTTTAGTAAATTTAATGAATTTAAAGGACTATATTAAGCCTTTACTTGGAATGTATTTTAACTTTATACTCATTAATGTACTATATTACTTTTAAGATAATTTTAGCCGACTTTATGTAGAAATCAATGATTATTTATTATTAATATTAATTCGTCGTCACAATATTAATATGGTCATTGTACTCAATTGTGTACAGTTGTAAATAATAGTAAAAGTCACTCAATGTAATCAATTTGTTGCTTTAGTTTTATCACAAACAA